GTTGCCAGGGGATCCAGAGTGTTGCGATGTTCATATTGCAACCATAGTATGACATCCTCGTGCATCTGGGGGTTTATGGGGTGNACATGGTCATCAACATGTTATCAATACTCGTTTACGTTTTTACCCAAACAATATATCTATTCAAGATTTTTTTTTTTTCTTCATTGTACAGCATCATCGTTACTATTAGTGTTAACTGGCTGTGTCAACTACAGTTGAAACTTAATTTTCGCTTTTCTTCATAACATATACATATATATTGTTTTGTTTGTTTTTTTTTTTTTCTTTTCTTTACTTCTTAATATATATGTATTTTTTTCTTTCTTTCGAAGTTTTGTGGTAATTCTTTTTTTCTTTTTCTGTCTTTACTTGCTACATTGTATCGATTTCCATACGACATGCCCGATAACTAACAGCTTCATCCTTCGTAGTTGTTCTTCNCATATTTTGTTGGGGTTATTGAATTTGTATTTGTTAATTTCGTAATTTTCCAGCCTTTCCATTAGGTAACTTTTGTTCTTGTGATGTAAAATTACTGCGTTCTTTTCTTCGTCGAATTCATGATCTTCATTAAATATTAAGTGTCTTCCAAAGTTAGCTTTGTTTTTGTTCTTGTGTTCTTTGATTCTTGTTTTTAAAGATCTTCCGGTCTCCCCTATGTATATCGCTTGGCAGGTATTACATGTAAATTTTTAGACTCCATTACTATCAAGCTTGTTAATTTTGTCTTTATTATTTAGTAGTAGTTGCTTGATTGTGTTATTGCTCTTGGAAGTTATAGTTATATTATGTTTCTTAAAAATCTTTCCTATTTTATTCTTTATGTTTCGCTGATATGTAATTGTTCTGTACTCTTTCTCCTTGTTATCTTGTTGTGTGTTTAGTGTCGCCAAGTTATTACGTGTCCTCTTAGCTTTCTTCCTTTCCAATATTTTATCTATAATTTCTGGGTGATATCCATTGTTTTTGCCTATTTGTTTTATTATTTCTGTCTCTTTTCTTATTTCGTTTTCGTCCAGTTTTACTTCAAAGATTCTGTCTATGTATGTTCTGAATGTTGCCAGTTGATGAGAGTAGTTGTGTTGTGAGTCATTGGGAATAATAATAATAATAATAATAATCTAGGAAGTTGATTTTGTTATTTTGTTCCGTTTCTATTGTGAATGTTATGTTCTCGTGCAAAGCGTTGATGTAAGCGTGTAGTTCTTCAATAATGCTTTCATCTGTCGTATTAAGGATAACGAAGATATCATCCACATATGTTTGCCATATCAGAATATTGTTTTTATGAGGATTCCTATTGTTAATTATCATTTCATTTTCTACCATGTCTAGGAAAATGTTAGTAAGCATTCCACTAAGAGGTGAACCCATTGGGAGACATTGTTTGTACGTGTATATTTGGACGCTATTTTGATTTTTTCACTTTAAAAGAAAAAATTACGCACTATAGGGTTAAAAACAAGAATCAAAGAACACAAGAACAAAAACAAATCTAACTTTGGAAGACACTTAATATTTAATGAAGATCATGAATTCGACGAAGAAAAGAACGCAGTAATTTTACATCACAAGAACAAAAGTTACCTAATGGAAAGCCTGGAAAATTACGAAATTAACAAATACAAATTCAATAACCCCAACAAAATATGCCTTTAATAAAAAATACGTCTTTAGGCAAGTAACCATCTTTATCACCCAAAATGAGGATCTATTCAATGTTTTTGGAACCCTAAAAATTTCTTGATATTCAAAAACAATAAAAAAATTTCAATTAGTAGATAGATAGATTAAAACCAGCATTTTTAATTAATGGCAAATTACCAGATGTATTTAATGAGGTAATCAATAATAAAATAAATAGACAGGTCAAATTCGATTTAAATATAAAAAATTTCTTTTAAACTTTTCGTTCAATTTTTGATAGTAACTTTTGTTTCTTTCTTATAGCGGGGGAGTAATGTGGCAAACGGATATTTAAAATCGAGTTAGCTATGTTACATTAGTTACCAAAATGTTATTATTATTATTATTATTCGTTATTGACAAACAAAAATAAACAAGTCAAAAAACATTATCTCTATATTAAAAATTATGCAGGGTGAGTCGAGAGGAACGGACCAAACTTTAGGAGTGTATTGTACACTTAAAAATAATGTAAAAAACTCATATGTTATTATCCGATTTTCTTTTATTTTCTTTTTTTATTGCATAACTGCAATTAAACAAAATCTTATACATTAACATTCAATATTGATCAGCTTTATTTTAATAATTGTTCGAAAATATCGCCATTAACTTCTAAACATTTCCGGCTTCGTTTACTAAGAGCTCCTGTTGCTTTCCTAATTGCTGCATGATTTTCTTTAATATTAACTGCAACATTTAGAATGCGCCTAAGAAGTGCATCCCTAGTGTCAACTTTGACTTTGTATACTTCATTTTTGAACCAGCCCCACAAACAACAATCAAGTGCTGTGAGGTCTGGAGATCTTGGAGGCCAACTAATAGGACCACCACGACCAGTCCAACGCCCTGGAAACCTTTCGTCCAAATGTTACTTGACCTGACGAGCGAAATGCGCCGGAGCTCCATCGTGTTGAAAGTACCTTCTAATGTTTAGAGGAACATCCTGCAGTAAATCATTTAATTCATTTTGTAAAAACTCTAGGTAGTCATTTCCTGTGAGGCGATTCTCCAAAATAAAAGGGCCAATTAAATAACCGTTGATCATACCACACCCTACATTTACCGAAAACTTGTGTTGAAAGTTGTTTTCGATTGTTCCATGGGGATTTTCATCAGACCATACGTGACTATTACGAGTATTATGTAGGCCGTCACGGGTAAATGTTGCTTGATCCGTGAAAAGAATATGCGATACAACACGATGATCATTATTCGACAAAATTCGACTCGTTTAACATAATTTTCCGGCAGTAAATGTTGTACCTTACCTAATTCGTATGGATACAAGTATTGCTCGTGGAGTGTGTTATTACTCTCTTTTGTGGAATGTCTAATTGAACAGCAATTCTGCGTGAGTTGGTCGTTGCATCTTCATCTACTAGATCCAAAATATTTTCTACTTCATTTAAACATTGACGCGTAGCTTGTTCAGATGTTATTTTAACGCTGGGAAGTGTACCGGTTTCGCGCAATTTATTGAAAACCCTAATGAAAACGTTATTATTAGGATGTCTGCGATTTGGAAACCGTTGACGATATTCATCTGTAGCAGCTGTAGCACTCTCGTTACAAAAACCATATAATAACATATCTGTATATTCTAAATGTGAATAAGTACTTGGCATTTTGTACCTCTTAATGCAAATCAAAATGTCAAATCTACGTTAAATGTTTAACGGTAGTTATGCAATCAATTGAAAACAAATGAAAATCGGATAACCACATATGGGTTTTTTTACATTATTTTTAAGCGTACAATACACACCTAACGTTTGGTCTGTTCCTCCCGACTCACTTTGTATAAAAGGACAAAATATAAGCTTTACCCTTTATTATCCTTTACTTCTTATTACATCAAAATTTAATAAAATGAATAAAGCATATAATAAAATAATTAAAAAAAACGATGGCAATCTACTGGCTCCCCATCGTTTCAAGCTTAGATGCTGACTTAAGTAAGGATAATAGAACATGCAGAAACCGTATAAAATGATTTGAAATCAGCAGATGGAATTTTGATTTATAGCAGCTGTGGCAGTTCTTGCGGTCCAACAAGAGGCGGCTTCTTTAAAGAAACAAATTCATCTGTGATAGTGGTGAGATTAGCTTGATTGTTTATTATGGACAAAGAATATGGATTAGATTCATACTGTTAAACTAATAATAGTTAAAATATCTAATAATAATTGTTGATAATAGCTAAAAATAGTATTACAAGAGAATATTACCTCCATGCGCTTATCTTGTAAAATTACGAATTCATAAATATTTCAAAGCAAATTTGATAAAGATTTAATGTGTCGTTAACGCGCATGACTTGTACAGCTTTAACATAATCGCAAAGGTTTTGAAAAGCGTCAGTAAGTAAGCAAGAAGAGCAAATAGTACGTGACCGACGACCAACACAGTCGTTTTTTTTGTAAATACGGAAAGATATTTGGATATTTCATTATTTTGTGTAAGTAAAAAATTATCTTTGTATACAATAATATATATACATATGCCGGTGAGACATTTAAATTGTGACGACCTTATAACTCATAAACCATCAATTTTATTATTTCATTTCTTAAGTAAGTTTTTTTAAATTGATACATATATTTTTTTCTATCGATCTGTAATCGTATGTCTTCCCATGCTTATGTAATAAAACGTAACTAATGAATATAATGGACATATTGACAGATAATTACCAACGTGCTTATTAATTAAATTAATTAATTGTGTTGTTCCCCGTATTCCCTGGTTGCACCTTGATTTTTTATTATGTGCATTATTCATTAAATAATTTTTTTTTTCAAATAAAAGTTATTTATTTTATCATGGAGAATAGCATAGTTATCAAAAATATATATGTATTCATTTGAAAAACTTATTTAACAATTGAAAGACATTTAGGGCGCTTCTAAAAGGGAATGAAAACAATACAGAATAATATATATAACGGGAGAAGTTATATGATGAAAGTTTTATCTGAAACTTTTTTCGATAAAATTAAGAGTTTACGAGTTATTCGATTGTCTCAATTTAAATACCTCACCCGGTGTATATAATTGAATGAATCAATTAAGAAATACATAAAGTGTTATCACAATTAAAAAATCTGAGTTGTCTATTAGCATTGCATAAAGAATGTATTACAAATTCCTTATCCAATACTAATATCTAATACAGTGATAACAAAGTATATTTATTTTTTTATTGAAATCAGTTTACATCACCGGCAATATAAAGTGTATAAAATTATTAGTTAATTATTTCACCATTAACGTTTCAATAAAAATAATTATTTTTGTTTCAGATAAAATATGCTGTTTCTAACAACATTAATTTTTCCATTGTTAATTCATTTGGGTGCATCGTGCGGTTCCGATGAAGGCTTAATGAAACAAAAAAATTTTTATCGTGATCAATGTAAATGTAGAGAATATGTAGGTTCGTACGCGATATGTTACAATTTCCGCTGCCAAAATTTTCCGAAATACTTTCAAACATCGGTTAAATGCTTTAAAATAAGCGGATCCGGAATTAGGGATTTCTTACCAGGAGATTTTGAAAATATATCACACATAACCAAATTACACATTGAAAATAACATAGCGTTAAAAACGATTCAACCTGGAACTTTTAAAAAATTATATAAACTAGCAACTTTATCGATTTCTTTTAACCCACAATTAATGAGTTTGAATGAAGATGTTTTTAGAGGGCTATATAGTTTAGTATCGTTACAATTATCTAACAATGGATTTAATGAAATCAAAGATTTTTCAACGGCTTTAAAATCTTCGTTTATGCCGATGTTAACGACGATTATTTTAACGGAACTACACTGCCCAAGAGTTGAAGAAGATGATTTCGCTTATTTATCCGGAAGCAAAGTGAGAAATATTTTTTTTGATGGTTCCCAAATTAATTATATACACCCGGATGCGTTTATTAATTTAAAAGGTTTAAGGAATTTAAGTATTAGCGATACTTTGGTGGAGGAACCAAACGTGATGGAGATTTTACAAAAAATTAAGAAAAATAAGATGCCTTTGATGTCGTTAAAATTGAAATTGTGGGGTAATAAGACACGAGTACCTTATCAACTTTTTAATGTAATAGGAAATACGACGATAACCGAGCTGATTTTAAACGGGAATCAATTTGATATAATCGAGCAGGATACGTTTCCTAAAATGCCTAACATTAACACCTTAATTTTAGAAGAATCTAAGATTACTGATATTAAAGAAAATGCTTTAATTAATTTTCCTAATTTAAAACAATTACATTTAAAAGAAAATAAAATGGTTACAATACCGCTGGGGGTGTCAATACGAACGTTAGAGGTGTTGGACATTTCTAGAAACACAAAACCAGAATCGTCTTGTTTTAGTTTCAAATTTGATAACATGGCTTCATTGAAAATTCTTGATTTAAGTTATAACAACATCATAAGAATTTATAATCGCACTTTACACGGACTCCCAAACCTGAAAAAATTAAATCTTTTTCAAACAAACATCTTGTTAATATCAAATAATTCTTTTAAAGAATTAAGAAACTTGGAATATTTGGATTTAGGCGACAACGATTTCCCACAAATATCTTGGGTTAAAAATACCTTTACCGGATTAATTAAATTAAAATATTTATCCCTGGAAAAGTGTAAAATTAAATTTTTTCCCAGCAACGACATCTTTGAAAATTTGGTATCTTTACAAACTTTAATTCTCCGAAATAATTTTCTTGTTGAAATACCCCAAGATTTAATGATTTCAATGAGCAAAATGAAAGTCTTAGATTTAGCTAATAATCGATTAAAACCTTGGCAAGAACGGTTATTTATTAACACCGCGGTGGAAAATTTAATAATTTCCCAAAATCCATTCACACATTTAACGAAAGCTATGTTACAAGATATTGCCGATTTGAAAGTAGTTGACGTTTCAAATAATCCATTTCATTGCGAATGCGATCAATTAATCCAACCAATCTATTCCTTAACAGATGGAAGAATCAATCACATTTTAAGCCTTTTAAATCAAACAAATTCCTTTTGTGTGTCACCAGAAACTGACAATACAATTGTCGAATATTACCGGAGTAATTTGGAACGGTGCAGCAGAGAAAGGATCATAAAAATTTTGAGACACACAGCGCCTTTATTAATATGTGGATTTCTTCTCCTCACAATTTCACTTGTTTCTTACAACTATCGATCACACATTCGTTATTGGATTTTTTTATTAAAACTATCTACATCACGAAGAAACCAATTAAATACAAAACGCGATTTCATCGAACGTCGCATTAATTATATATACGACGCAATAGTTTCTTATAGCAATGAGGACAGAAATTTTGTTATAAGATTAGTAAATATGTTGGAAAGTTATGACCCATTTCTTAAATTAAGCGTATACGGTAGAGATTTTGAGATTGAAACGAATGTGTCTGAATCAGTTTTGAAATGGGCTGCAAGAAGCAGAAAAACCTTGCTCGTAATCAGCAATTCTTATATTAACTCGGAATGGTGTGCTTGGGAAGCTGCAATTGCTGAAAATCATAGGTTATTTCTTGAAAATGAGCGTGGAGAATGTGTGAATGATTCGTTGGTTATGATCCAATTAGGGAGTATTTCGGGTTGTAGCATAAGTCCGATGATGAAATATCTTATGAAGACTAGAATTCTTTTGCAATGGGAACCTGAGGAAAATAAACAAAATCTGTTTTGGGAGAAATTGAGGAATGCTTTAAGACCGCGATTAAATAACTAAAAAGAAATGAATTAATATGATAATTTGTAATAACTTTTGTTAATAAAAACAAAAATTTATTATGTATTATTTGCTGTTTTTAATTATATTTCTTGTATTCTATTCTTATACCTATGTATACAAGGTGGAACAATTGTGAGGCGTGGTTCAAAGTTAGACAAAAAGTAAATGAAAATGGAATTGTTTTACCTGGTTTTATTATCACTAACAAATTTATGATTACACAATACGCGGTTATTACTACGAATGAAAAGAATATAAGAATATATCGAATTTATAACGTTTGGCGGTTACAATAATAATTATCTCCCTCTCGTATGCGCATCACATTTAAAGATGCGCGGGAGACAATTTGGCACAAACATTTCCACCTACCAAAAATTAGGTGTATTTTTTAACAACTAGTGAAGTGCAATAAGAGAAATTATAAAATTGATTACAAGTAATTACAATAAATAAGGTAAAACCAACAAATAAAGCTTTTACAATGTTAGGTTAAGGGCAAAATGCAGATGTTGTTGACTGGGCGCGTTCATTTTCCATTTTGAATTTTGACGGTTACCACTCGAAGGCGACCGTCTTTACCAGGGTGTACTTCCACCACACGTCCAGTAGTCCATTGCAATGGAGGCTTTAATTCGTTATGTATAACAACTAATTCTGCGATTTGAATTGGAGGAGTATCCGTATTCCATTTCTGGCGTTGTTGAAGAGTGTACAGATATTCATTTCGCCAACATCCCCAGAAATCCTAAACCATTCGCTGCAGTAAATTCAATGGACAATCAATAAGATTTGGATCTGGAATCTATGCACCAAGAGGACCTAAAAGTAAAAAATGTGCGGGGGTTAATGGTAATAAGTCATTTGGATCGCTCGATAAAGGACACAATGGCCTGGAGTTCAAGATAGCTTCGATCCGTGATAGAACTGTTGACATCTCATCATAAGTATTTGTTCTCCAATCATTCTTGTATACGGCTAAGGTGGAACAAAATATTAAGAATGAGCCAAATCCTTTTTGGAATTTACTTTCTAACAAAAAAAGAAACTTAAATGAAGCAACATGTTTTCAATAACATGGTTCAACACTTTCTTCTGCAAAAAAAAAAAAAATATATATAAGTATGGCATTTGATGAATATTTCAGTTCTGTTTTTGATAATGTTTCTTCTTATATGCTTAATAAATATGATGAATCCCTTCAAAGAAGTTCGTTGAACATATTTACATTTAATCCCATTTCGAACAATGAAATATTGGGAGCAATAAGAAAGTTAAAGCCAAAAAAGGCACAAGGACCGGATAATATACCCCCTTACATCGTAAAAGGTTGCAAAAAGTTTTTTTTGTTGCCTCTCTCTATTATCTTTAACCTAGCAATTTCCACCTGTACGTTTCCTTTACATTGCAAGTGGGCAAAGGTTGTACCTATACACAAGTCTGGTTCTGTAAGTAAAATCACCAATTATAGACCAATTTCAATAATATCCTGTTTTGCAAAAGTCTTCGAAAGCATTATATATAATAGAATATTCAATCACATCAAAGAGGCATTGCATGTTAACCAGCATGGATTTATCCCTAATAGATCTGTACAAACAAACTTAATTATCTTAAATGAATATGTTAGTTCTGAATTGGATAGAAAAGGTCAGGTTGACGTTATATACACTGACTTCACTAAAGCGTTCGATAAAGTGAATCATGATGTACTTTTAGACAAGTTAGTATTGTATGGTTTATCTAAACAAACATTAAATTTTTTTGGATCTTATTTGGAAAACAGACATATCTACGTTAGTTATAAACATAGCGAGTTACAAAAATTTTAAATAAACTGTGGTGTTCCGCAAGGGAGTAGTCTAGGGCCTTTACTCTTTATTGTTTATTAATGAATTGCCGTCCATTGTAAAGGAATCTGAATGCCTACGGTTTGCTGAGGACCTAAAACTGTTTCGAAATATACGTGATGAAAATGATTGTGTGTGCCTACAATCTGATCTTAGAAGACCAATAATTTGGTGCAACAAGAATATGCTCCACCTTAATGCGGAAAAATGTGAAAAAATTACTTTCACTTTAAAGAAAGTACCGATTGTTTGAGTATTATATCAATAACAATAAACTGAAAAACATTGTACAGAAAAAAGATTTAGGAGTAATATATACACGAAGCTTTAACTTTGACGAGCACGTAAAAGCTACAACTGCATCAGCTCTAAGGTTATTAGGATTTATTATAAGAAACTGTCACTCCTTTTTCAATATTGACACCATATAGGTACCTATACAATTCATTAATTAGATCAAAACTGGAATATGCTGTTGTGGTATGGGACCCTGGAACAGCCTATCATTCGAATATCATTGAGACAGTACAAAACTAATTTATTAAATATATTTTCTACAAACAATACAATAGATTTATTGGTTTTCAGTCTTATGAATTGACTCAGAGATATTTTGATATGACCAAATTGTCGATCATTTGATTGGTGTGATAAGTCCTGGTTATCTGTATAAGATACTAAACAATAAAGTAGATGCACCATCAATTTTGAGAGGCGTTGGTTTGTATGTCCCTACATATTCTGGTCGTCCTAGGGCTCTGTTTAATATAAAGCGTTTCTCTACAGAACTGAGAAGAAACTCACCATTAAATAAAATGGTAACATTATATAATAAAGTATCAGCAAGAAACTCATTACCAATATTCTCTGTATTTTACAGGGAGTTCAGAACTAAGTGTTTTATGGCGCTCAACTGATTAAGTGTTGGTTGTTAATCACTATTTTATATTGCGGCCTGATTTTGGTAGATATTGTTCTATAGATCTTAGTTGTTCTACTATTAAGCTGGTTGAAACATGTAATTAGGGTAGCCTGTTTGTTTCAATAAATAA